AAAACTTAAACCTTAGCAGCCAAACATCACCAGGGCTCCTTACCTGAAATTCGTGCATACAGCAAGCATCCTGCTTCTGTGTTTTTTATTTTGAACTGGCAATGTGTGTCTGATCCAGATTTGATCAGCCTTGCCAAAGCAGGCTGACTCCTGTGTCACGGGTGTGGGTCTCCTCCTCAGCTTTTTCCTGTGGTTGTTGACTACCACTCTGGTCTCTGGTCCACTGTCATTCCTTTGTCTCTGAGTTTTGAGGTTCTACTCTGGGTGCCCTCCTTGCAGCCATACCTGGCCCATTAGGGACCACATCAGGAAGACTCCAGGCCTTTCTCAACCTGGATTGAGCTTCTCAAACCCCACACCTGCACCCTGTCACCAGTATCCACACAAAACATTGTCAGCCCTATCAGCCAACTGCTTGTCACTTTCCTCACCTTCATTAACAAAAATATTTGCAGCATTGCCTCACTCACCACTTAACACAGTGTTCTGTGAGAGGAATAGAAAGCTGCTAAGGATATATTCACTTGTTTGCTACTGAGTGCTGTCCATTTTTGAATGAGAAAGATTCTATAAGCAAATAAATGCTTACCTGATAAGCATGAACTAAAGATATTTTCAAGTCAACTTTTTCATCTGAAGATTGAAATAAAGAAAAATATTAGAATAGATATTATTTCTGCTAAACAATTATCCTGTAGCATGAAGTGAATGAATTGATACTTATGAAATGGAATTCTTCACACCAGTTGTTCTGTAAGGTACTTGTTCACGTTTAGTGCTATTTTAAGTTATCCTTTTCATAAAAATTAGGGGGGTTACCATTTTTAGGTGAGGCTATAAATAGCGGACTTGTAGTTGTTATTTTTAATTTCACTATTGATATTTATGTAACCAATTTAGTAAACACCTAATTAAAATAAAGAGGCCTGAGACTTTGTAATTGTTGTTGTTGTTGATTGCCATCAAGTCGAGCACTACTCATAGCAACCCTATGAACAAAAGACCTGAAACCTTTTTATAACTATCATTTATCAAATTTCATAGAGTTTCCAGAGGCTTAGAAAGTAGCTGCCACTCCTGCTATCAATATTAAGTAAGTCAAATTACTAAAATGAGCTTACCTAATAAATGTAATTCTTGTTGTATGCCCATTGCTGTACTTAAGTTCTTCAACGCCTACAGAAATATCCCCCTCTTTGGGGATCCCTAAAAGACTTAGGAAAGTATTAAGTATTTGTTGTTGTGTACCGTAGAGTGAGAAATGACCCATAGCTGACCCTTCGGCGGTTTTCAAAGACAGTTGATTACATGGGAGGAGATTGCCCATCTTTCTCCAGGTTCATATTAATATGCTTTAGTTTTATTAAACTTGAAAGCAAGAAGGAAGGCTAGAAGAGTGACTGTGAGCTCAGAGATATGACAGTTCTTCAAATGCCATCACTAAACAGCTGTTTTATTTGCAGTTCTGAATAATGAAATAAAGCTGTTATTTATTTTAGGAACTTTATGATTCTTTTGACACTTGAAAATCAGTAGTTATTTTATGACTTAAACTTCACATTAGAAAAAAAAACATTTCCTTAAACACAAACTTCCTCCTCCCCTCCCCATAACGATACTTTAAGGCTTATACCTTCCATATACTTTAAAGGCTAAATGCCAAGCACTCATACTGGCCACCCAAGAAATACTTGTATTGCAGGGAAAAGACCTAATATTAATAGTCTTTTAGTTTTATGCCTGCCACCTAAACTCAGAAAACTTAATTGGATTTGATAAGATGCTGTAGAAGCAACTAAGACATGTAAAAATTTTCCTAAGACTAGTTTGTAAAAGCAAGAAGATAAATTAGTAAATGTTTTGCTGTCAATTATATGAAAATAAGAATGAGGCAGAATTTCAAGAGTTAAGTTCTGTGATAATAAGCTTTTATCAATTCATGATTGTGTTGAATAATTATAAATAAAGGGGTCCTGGTGGCCATGTCCAGTTGCTAACTTTAAGATCAGCTGTTTTAATTGTTTTCTTCTAACACTAAATTATGCAGCTTTTCCTAGGAATAGATGTGAAGAATGAGACTTATCAATTAATTCAAATGTTGGTAAATTAAGCTACTACCGCATTTGTAAACCAATTGTCACCAAATCACCAAGTCAGTTGTGACTCATCACAACCCAGTTAAGACAGAGTAGAAGTGCTCCATGGTGTTTCCAAGGCTGTAATCTTACAAAGCAGATTTCTAAATCCTTTCTACCCTGAGGACACTATGGATTAGAACCACTGACCTTTTTGGCTAGCAACAAGTTTTTAACTACTGTGCCACTAGAACTCCCTTCTAAGCATTTGTAAGTAGAGTTTTTGCTTTTGTTTTTAAAGTATTGATCTTCTTTGAATGAAATGAGACTTAAATGCTCTGCCTAGTTCCCACTTCCTTATTATCATGCAGCCATTGCTCCCTGCACTCTGGACAGTGCCCTGTAATGAATATAAGATGAAAATGTGTTTGGGAAGTAGGAGAGTTTGTCGGTTTTCTGGAGAACAATCCCAGTGGTCTTTTTGCAAGGGGATAATAGTACCCATTTCCTCCATACTCTGAGGCTGACCTCCACCTGAACACACACTACACCTTCCTGTCCTCACACCTATTGAATCATTCTCTTAGTTCACCAGGCCGCCTTCTGTTCCCTGTCTCTAGCTACTGGAGCTCCTCACATCCTTCAAACTGTATTTCAGTTGCTCTCTTTTTCATCAAGTTTCTCATGCCCCACAAGCATCACCAGTAACAGCTGGCTTTAGAAAATGAAGACAATTATGTTGCTTATCCCAAAAGATTTAACATTTTAAAGAAGTCAGACAAGGGAGGCCTTTTTTTTGAGGAGTAACTTGCACATTCCTAGTCAATGCCCAGGAAATGTAACTGTTATTTTAATGTGTACCTTTTTGGTGCCCTTACCTCGCTAGATTGAGACCAGGACTGCTGAGTTTTTTAGGGGCCAACATAGTGTCTGCTCAAAATGTGTGGTTGAATTCAATCCAAGTGCTTGTGCCATTTAAGTGATCCTAGGAGTGACATAAAACCCGGGAAGAGAGGCGTCACTCACAGTTAAGAAAAAAGGAGGCCTCTTAGAGATGACTAATTTTAAAACTTTGGTTCTGACCCTGGTTGGTAATAGGCGTTGGCATGTGCCCACAGGTGGGGATGCCGCCCGGTTGGCTGATGATGTGGGAACTATCACAAGAAAAGTAGCCTGAGGTCAGATTATAAATACCCTTAAAGGTCTCCTTGACATGATGTCCTTTATCCTGTGGGTGGGTGGAAGTATGAGAGTTCTCTAGAGTGACTAAGAAATCAGAGATGCTCTACCCAAGGGACCCACGGAGGAAACTGAGAAATGGGTGAAATCCTACTACCTAAGCCAATATTTCCCAGACTAATCCTCTCATTATTAATGTTTCTTCTGGTGTTGATTAATGTTTTTGAAATCTCTAACTTCTTTCCCCACTTGCCAAGGCCAACCTTGCATCTTGACTGAAACTTTGTGTGACTAGTGCTTCCCAGACTTAATTGGCCCGGGAAGGTTTTCATCATAGGCCTGTCAACATCTCACAAAACACTGTAAAGGAACCCGTGCCCTAACAGCCCTAAATCAATGCTGTCGTAATGTAAGAGCATGTCAACTCGGGCTGTTTCTCAGTCCTGCGGCACTGGTGCAATCAGGTAGTTGCCAGATGGGAACTGGCTTCTGCCTTGCTGTGCCCTGTTTGGGCTGGATCACGTGGACATCCCCAGTGGTTCAGAATTGCAGGTTATTAACATTCCACCTCATCTGTCTCTCCTTCCACTGTGAGTGTCTCCACACTTGTCCTCTGTTGCCATGCGTACACACTACATGTGATGAGTCCCAACCTTTGTGGAACATGAATGAATTTCTTTTTATTCTCCTTTTATACATTTGAAAGATTTGTTACAAGGATGATACGTGTCAAGAACAGAACGAGAAATATAGGACACCCTTGATGGTGGCAAACTAGGGTTGGGACTCATTGAGCTATGTGGTCATACCATTTCCCCTCCTCATATTAACATGATTAAAATTATTGGTATGGGATTAAATTACCTAAGTAATTTATGCATAAATTGATGTAAATGTTAAAACTTTTCAGAAAAGAACTTCATTTTCAATCTTAATAGTTCTAGCTGAAAAAAAAATTTTTGAAATAGTATTAGCTGTTTGCAGGCTTCATAAATTTTTAATCCACATTTTTTCATTTATGTTTTTAATGGTGAAATAAGCTGATTTGGGCCATAAATGGCACCATAAATGATTGTTTAGCAATTTAAAGCACATTTTTTTCAAAGATAGTTATGGGATGGACATATTCAGTATAATCAGAACCTGACACATAGTAAATAAATATCATGTATTTGCTACTATTTTTGTCATAACTTGTTTATTTTTGTTGAAGATTGGAGTTAGGTCCTAACTGGTTGCTGCTTCCCAGTCTTCAAAATAATCCGCACTCTATTTTTTCAGTTACTAGACATTTTAAATTGGCTTTATATGAGTATTAACAAAAAGTCAAGGAGAAATATGCAGTCATTAAGTTTGACTGGCTAATGTCAGTATTTTTTTGCCATAATAAATTTTTAAAATATGATATTAAAATCCTAAATATTTACTGATTTAAATCCTCTCCAGCTACTTCCTCATATAGTTACTTAACTAGACCTTTCCTTGAGGAAGTACAATTTCAGATATTTTTTCCTTTTCCTTTTATTGAAGTGGCAGATTACACAGATTATTTTTCTAAGCATTTCAGATAGCTTTATATGAATACTATAGTCCACCATAAATCTCCACACTATGGGGAAAAACATATCTTTATATTCATATGTGTTGCTCTTGGCTTTAAAGTAGTTGCTATAATTTTTTAAATGTTTTTTCTGGAAACCAAAATCTCTAAATCCTAATTTCTTTCTTCTGCTTCCTCTCCTCCAGCTTACTGAAGCAAATTCAAGTATCAAGTGCTTGGACTCCATGTGCTGTTTCTCAGAAGGAGAAACAGCGTGTGCATCTGTTAGAAGAATGCTGGAGCGAGTAATAGGAAGATGTAGTCCGGCCCACATCAGCAGGTGTGAGATTTCTCTAAGTAGCCTTTGCTGCAGATGAGTATCCTATAAACCGGAACAGGATGAACCTGCACCTCTAGATTCCTAATAAAAGCCAGCAGCTGGTGTCACCAACGCAAGCAGGAAGTGCATGTCTTCCGAGCACTCTGTGTTGGTAGAGTTCACTTTGTGGCTCTGGGGTGGAGGGTTAAAAGGAAGAGAAAGCACCTTTGAAGAGACTTTTCAACTAATGAACAAAATGTTTTGTTTTAGAATCTTTCTACAGTGTGGTGAATAGGAGTATAACTCTCTTTTAACTGTACCTATACTATTGTTACCTTTCATTCAAGGTGGTTTTTTGGTTTGTTTCTGGTTTGTTTGTTTGTTTGTTTGTTTTTGCTGTTGTTGTTTGATTTTTGTCTTTACAAATATTCTGCATATGCTCATGAAGTCGGAAACCTTTGCTTTTCTTTTTCTTTATTTTTATTTCCTGTTCTGTCATCTGGGGTACTTTGAACACAGAAAGCTGTATTTTGACCTCCTCACTCCTTTCTTTCTGCAATGAAGTTTGGAGATGAGTTGTCTTTACATTTCTTTCACTTGATATTTCCTGTCTGTTTAAAAGTTTGTAACTTGTAACAAGCACTTTAAATGGTGAGTTAGAAGAGTCTTAACATTTTTGTCTCCCTACCAAATTAGTTTCTTGAATTATATTGATCACAGATAACAGAACTATTATTTAAAAGTAGACTGTCACTCAAAATTTATTTGAAACTGAAATGGATTAATGTCTTTGTATGATTCCCCACTTCTATCATCACTTGGGGATAGAAATAACTTTTACATTTTGGTGTTCTTTATGTGTATGGGAATCATATACCCCAAATCTAAGCAGGAATATTATCATTTCCTACATGAAAATGACAGGTAAAAGGTTGAGAGCTGCTCCAGAGGCAGAGAATAATATAGAGAAGTCATTAATCTTTTAATCAAAACGTTGTTAATAATTGGTTCATTTGGTGTTTTGAAAAATGATGACTGTGATGCCATTCAGTTATAAAATCCAAATAACTTCCACTGTCAGACTTGTCAGTTTTCATTTAATCTTTGGCTGTGCCGTGTCTTTATGATACATTTGCACTTAAAAATAGCATTCATATGTCTTTGGTTCCACTCTCCATTTATTGTGATCAGATAATAATGTGCTCAGACTGTTTATCTAGTTCTTCAGGACCATCTTGTAGTCATTTCATTTCAATACTATGAGAAGTTAAAGTTATTGAGATTATGTTATACAGTGGTATAGAATGCATTCTAAGAAAGCAGCTCTGTCATGTTCTGGAAGGATTTCATTTATGATGATATTTTACATACTGCATAACTTTACTGTGCAGAAGTAGAAGTCAGGGCAGGACACTATTCTAGACCGTCTACAGAGTTTTTAGAATTTCTGCTTAAACATAGAGTTATCTTTAATGGCAGTATATATCTTAACCAATGTTAAAAATGGAAAACCAGACTTAATTGTGAATGAGCCAAAATTTGCTCTGCTTTATACAGATTCTCATTTTCTTAGTATCCATTATTTTAAAAATTGTTGTTGTTGGGTGCTGTTGAGTCAACTCCTACTCTTAGCAACCTTGTGTGCAACAGATCCACACCTGGCCCCCTCTCTGCCGTCTTGACAATCTCTGCTTAAGCCTACTGTGAGGTCATGGTGTCAGTCCAGCTAGTCTAGAGTCTTACTCTCCTTCACAAGGATTAGACCCTGTCCTATTCAGGCACTAGGTCCCTTTTATTCTTGACATTGCCAGTTTTGTGCTGCATTGTCCATTTTGAACTTGATCAGGACTTATTACATTTATCTGGACATATTCTCTTGAAGGTACCTGCCATCACCTGAACTTCTTTTCACTTAAAATTGTACTATATTCTTTTCTGAAGTCTTTTTTTCTTAATAAAATTTTTATCTTAAATATTCATATCATATTTGACAGACTATAAATAGTTTCCAATTTTGTCCCACATCTCAGGTTGCAATATTGGTTGTTGTCTCTCTTTTCATTTATTGATTAATCCTATAAAACCTTTTAAAAAAATTAAAAAAAGAAACCTTTAGAGATCTGTTGATTTACCCGAACCCCAGTGTCTAAAATCAGAACAATAGGCAAAACTACTTGGTGCTTTCCAAAGGGCTATGTGAAAATTGCCATTGGTTTATTATCAACATTTAAACATTAAAAGAATTTTTTTCTATACAGAGTTTTAGTTTTGTTTATATACATATAATTAATGAAATCTATTTGGCAATTCCATTTTCATTTTGGAGCAGCCTCTATATTACATTTCTGTTTTATGCCTAATTCAAAAGAAATGACAAAGCTGAAATCTTCAGTACAAGATTTAGAAGCTCTTGGATATTTGTATTATCAACTTATTAGACGTAATAGGTAATGAGTATCATTTGAAAAATACAACTAGTGCTTTTATATCACAGATCTCTTTGCTGATTAAACTTTTATCAACTGGGCACCAAAAAAGCCTGCTTCCTTTCATGTCATAGTATTGCCAAAGGAGAATGCCATATTGCAGGAGCCTTGTGGTGCTGGATAAATGGGATGTGATGTTGGACATTTCTATATGTATCTTACCAAAAGTGACTTTATCCTAATCACACCTTTCTTTTAAGTAAAAATTAGTTAATATGTAGCTCAAATGTTGAATGTTCTGTCAAATATGATATTTAACATGTATAAAAAGCACACATGTGCTCTGAAAAGATTCAAATGAGATTCTCCCTATAAATCCTAATGAGATCCATCTCTTTTAGCAGTGGTTGGGAAGGAGAAGACTACTTCAAGATATTGGTGATTTGGGATTGGAAACTTGATTTCAGATACTTCTTGATGTGTTGACAGTTACCTTTTTTTAATGTGTGTCTGAATGTGCCCTTCCTCCCATAAATACTGAGCTCCTTAAGAAATGTTCACATTCATACTGTGTTTATTTTACACTAAGTGCCCATTACATACCAGGAACAGTTTTAAGTGCTAGAGAGGTTGTGCTGAACTAGTCCAGAAAAAGGCGAAGATTTTCAGGAAATTAGTAAAATTAGAGTCCCAGGAAGGTACCAGTGTAATTGAATCTTGTTTATTACTTTGTTGCCAACTTTATAAAAATTTCAGAACCCAAGCATCAAAATTGGTTTAAACTTGAACTACATAGTTTCTAGAAAGCAGCCAATATTTTATAAAGGTGAATTAACATCATCTCTTCCTATAACAAGTTTGTTTAGGGAAAATGAGAACCTAAACAAATGTATGTATTCAGCACTTTTAGTCTTAGAAGAAAAATCACCTTTAACTGAGTGATCCAACTTTCCTCAAGATAGGTCAGTCTCATTTAAGTATGACAGGGTATTTCTTTGATCTTGAATTATTTTAGCTTCAGTTAATACCGCTACATAAAAATTATTAAGTAATTACTTGCTTATGGTCCTATCCTTCAGATAGTAATTGACTTTTCAAGACCAATATGGTCAGTTGTTGGGAATTCCTAGAGATCTTGAGGTACTTTTGGTACCTATCAAATACCACTTCCTACATTCAAGCAAATTATGTGAACATCTTTAAAATAGAATGTAAAGGGAAGAGGATTAACTGATAAAATGAGCATATTACTGCTTTTGTTCCAAACTTTTTGGTAAGTGGGATTTTTCTGTTTGTTTTCATGATGTCAAAACACAAGCATAAGCTATTCAGGAAATTGAACATATGTGATTCTTCACAACATATTTATTTCTTATTGAATTGTTAAAATTTTAGGAATGTCTCATGCTTTACTACCTATAAAAATGGTTTTACTGCTAATAATGCCTGAATTTTGGCTAATATTTTTATAGAATGACTAGAGCATTATTTTTCCCAAATTTTTGTATGATAGAACTAGAGTGGGCATTAAAGACTAGTTTGAAGAGCTTCACTTTAGCATTTAAAATGAATCCATTAGTGATTATTTTAAAACTCAAATTACATTTTAGTCCTAAGTTGTAGGATTAATTTTTATCAATTAAAAATAGGTCCTGGTGAGCCAAACTTTTCTCTTATTGTTGCTTTAGATCATGGAGCGCCTCGGATCCTTTCTATACCAACGACAGGAGCATCTTGACTCTCTCCACAATGGACTCATCTACTTGTTAAAGGGGCAGTAG